GGGGGCTGGGGTGACGCTGCCAGGGCAGCCAGGGCCCATGCGTCCACAGGGCTCTGGGGTGCAGTGGGCTCTGCCAAAGCGGACCCCACCCCACCCAGCGGACCCTGCCTGGCAGCCTCCCCACTCACTGGTTGTTGCAGATACAGATGACAGGCCTTGTCAAGAGCCCCGCCTCTGCCCGGCGCTGCCGCCTCCCGCCTGCGGGAACAGCCTGGTCGCCTGGCCCTACCTCCTTCGGGCCCTTTCGGTCCAGGATGCTCAACAGAACGTTGACGGCAGCCTGCGGAGGACACACGAGGATGAGCAGCTGCCCCAGAGCCCCCACCCCTACCTGCCCCCCACATCTCCACCCAGCCCCAGAGGACCCCTCACCGTGGGGGCCCCGTCAATCTCATCGATGACCAGGCAGTTGGGCCTCCCACCAGCGCCCAACACCGACTCCATCTGCGTGGCTGCCTCAATACGCGTGCGGAAGGCTTCAGGGCTGCGGTCGTCACTGGAAGTGGACGCATCCGGGTCAGGGAAGGGCCTCAGCTCACTCCCCTGGGAGCGGGCTGCCACAGGCACCACTGGGCTGACATGACCCAGCCTCCATCTGACCGACTGGAACCCAGAGCAGGCCTGGCGGCCGGCTGTCTATGCCCTACCGGCCCCTGGTCCAGCCGCCCGGAGGACACCTGCGTCCCGCTGCTCTGCTCACCTAGCGTTCATCTCGACCACGCAGTACCCTGCGTGCCGTGCAATCACGTGGGCCAGGGTGGTCTTGCCCAGCCCTGGGGGTCCACACAGCAGTGCCACCTGCAGCCAGGGCAGACGAAGACACACTGGGCCTGTGTCCGAGGAGCCCCAGGAAGCTCCCTCGCCCAGCATCAGAGGCTACGGATCGGGGCCCCTGGCTCCTGCCTCATACGCTGCCCCTCCCAGTCCCCACGCGTGGACAGAACCCTGCAAACAGCCCTCAGCTGGTGACCTAGGACAAGGCGGCAACTCACAACCAACCCCAGAACCACCCAGGAAGGGGCGGGGGGCCCGTCGAGAAGGCATCAACATCACCCGTGTCTCCCAGAGAACGTCTTCAAGTTCATCAGCACGACAGACCGAGACCCCCAGCATCTCTGTGCTCGTGAGCGCAACGTGCCCCGTGATGCACAGAGGCAGCGAAGGTGCCGTCCACCTCAAGCTCAGCCCCCAGCCCCAGAGAAGCAACCCTCGCAGTGGGGCTCACCTTCTGCCGGGGCCGCCGGCTGGGGTCCAGCTCAGCCTCCAGCATCTCTTCCAGCACCTGCTCGTGGCTCTTCCACTTGCTGGAAGCTGCTGTGTCCCTGCCACCACGGGCTGGCTCGCCGCTGGGCCTGGGCTTCCGGGCGGGCATCTCGCGACCGAACACCACCAGGTCCCACAGCTTCAGCCACTTGAGCAGGCAGCGGTTGGTGAACTGCAGGGGGAGGGGGCAGAGCCTGAGGACCCCCGCCCTCAGTCCTCGCCGTCAACCCGCAATCACGGGCCCCACATCTCAAACAAGGACACCGCAGCCTGGGAAGACGTGTGACGATGGCCAGTCATTCTGACCCCACCAGCTGTGCCTTCCCTCCCTGGAGTACCCCAGCATCAGGTAAGGGGGGCCCACAGGGATGGGGGTGGAGGCTCAGGGCAGGGGACATGAGGGCTCCCGGCCCAGCTCACAGGCAGCCAGCAGCAAGCCCGTCCCACACTGTTTTCCCACCTACAGCTCCACAAGGGGGATGAGCTCTGGTGGGCCCTGGGTTCCTCCCTCCCAGTGGCAAGGGAAGTCAGTCACACTTGAGCAAGAACAAGGCCTCACGTCATCACTGAGCAGCTCTGTGTAGCGCCGGGGTGCGAATTCATCCACCCACAGGCAGTGCTGGGAGGCTTCTCGGCCATCAGCTGCCTCTGGCTCTTCCTCTGGGGCCCCCACGGGCTGAGCGGCCTGCTCCTCAGACCTGAGGCTGGAGAACGTTGTAGCCTGAGCCACTGGGGCCTTGACCACACCCCACGCTGACCCCGCACCCAGGAAGTGCAGGCTAGGAGCAGGCTGAGACCACGGGAGGGTCCCGGGGCGGGGAGAGCCGCTCAGTCACCTGTGCAGCACGTCCGAGAGCCGCTGGGCTTCCTCAAGCAGCCGCTGCCGCTGCTGCACGCGAGAATCAAGTGGCTGAGACCGTGGTCTTGCCAGGACCACCCCTCCCCACCCGGCCAGACCCCCGCCAGCCCACCTCGTTGTCCACCTGCTCCTTCAGGGAGGAGAAGGGCACACCCAGCAGGTCCAGCTGGCTGTGGCCACGCCATCGGATGTCCGGGAGGGGACTCTGTGGGGAAGGGGACCGCAGTCACCTCTGCATCCCAGTCACGGGGCTCCCACAGCCCCCCAACAGTGCCCAGGAACCCAGAGCCCAGTGTCAGTGAGTTGCGGGAGATGGCAGAGGCCCCACTGTAGTCGGGTAGTCCAGTGGGGAAAGTGACAGGGACAGGGCCAGCTTGGAGGAACAGGGAGGGCCTTTCCATCCTGGGCCGTACCAGGGTGGGGTACAGGAATGGGGTCTCTCTGACCTTGTGTCACCACCCTCCAAAGCAGCTTCCGTCCTCCTTGTCAGTCTTGGCCAGGGATTTGAGGTCCAAGACCCTTCCCTGACCCACAGCGAGCCCAGCCACACAGCACTTGCCTGCACCCCAGTGCCCGTGGGGTCAGCCCGTAGCACCAGGAAGGCCCGCCTGCCACTGGTTGATGTCACATTGACGTAGTCCTCCAGGACTGGTGGCCGCCGCAGGACAGGATGGCGGGTGGCCGGCGAGGCCAGCGTGGGACCTGTGTCCGCTCCAGTGTCCAGGAGCCTGAGAGGGGCCGGGGCTCAGACTTAGGACCTGGCTGCCCTCACCCTTGGCGGGGGGGCCAGGTTCACCTTTAGGACCCCACAGGCTCCTCTTCCAGGCCTTAGAGTCTCATGTGAGGAGGAGGCTCCTTGCCAATCCCCAGGCACGCACCCGATGTCCCACAGCTTGGTGGGGACCTCAGGGCTCGGTGGGGGAGTGATGCCCGGCGGTGGGGAGTCAGGTGGCAGCTCTTCCATCTCCTCTGGCCCAAAGTTCAGCCTCTTGACGGCCTCCAGCCGCGGCCGTTTGATCCTGGGGGCTGTGGAGACACACGAAGGAAGCAAGTAACACTTCCCCAGCCTTGCACCTCACCCCAGCTCCCTCAGCCAACCCTGCGGACGGACATACTGGGGGGCAGGGGCACGTCCTCCTGCACAGCAATGTCTAGGTCCCTCTTTCGGGCACCGTCCTTGCTCTTCTGCAGCGACCTGACTGGACAGGGGTGGGTGGCAGCATCCCCTCCGGTGATGGCCTCCTCAAAAGTCAGCCGGGGTCGGCCCGCTGGGGGCTGAGGGGTCCTGGCGGGCGGCAGAGCCGATGCTCCTGCAGGAGAGAGGGTACTCAGGACACGGAGCCTCCTGGGCCAGCAGCGATAAAACCTTCCCTCCCTACTCGGTTCTCCTCTGGCCTCTGCTCTCCGATGACCGCCTCACCACCTCAGAGAAGCCCTCCCTGACTGCCACCCAGGCCCCAGGCAGGAGTGTGGGTACTGACTGAAGCCAGAAGGACGGTACCCAGGCCCGGGGGAGGACACTGGAGCCCGGGCCCGGGTGAGGGCCTGGGAGAGCGAGACGAGGGGAGTGACGGGGCCCCGGACACACGTGGGTCCGCAGGCGCGCGGCCTCCCCGCGCCGCGCGCACCTTCCAGCTCGGCCAGCACTTCGAGCTCGGCCGCGAACTGGCTGTGGAAGTCGTCCTCGACTCCGTACAGCTCCCGTTCGTAGTCCTCCATGTCGCAGGCCGCCGCTGCACCGCCGGGCTAGCGCCCCGAACCTCCCGCGTCCTGAGCGATACACGCGCTGCCAATCAGCGGCCAGCGTGCCCGGCCGCGCCCGCCAATGGGAGACGGGGCGGGCTGAGGGCGGGGCTATGCGCAGGCTGGGCGGGGTTGACTCGATCCATTAGGGTCGAAACGGCGGATCCAGAATTGCTCTCCATTGGCCGGCACAGCTGCCCGTCCGCGGCTGGGGCGGAGTTGGGGCTGCGTGCGCAGGCCGGGTGGGCCTCGAATTAAGTCACCATGGGCGGAGCGGCGCCCAAAAGAGCTTATCATTGGCTATTGCAGCTGCCTATCTGCGGCGGGGGCGGGCTGAGGGTTCGGAGTGGTTCAGTCAATTTACTGGAGTGGAAGCCGCGAGCCCAGAAGCGCTCGTCATTGGTCAGAGCAGCTGTCCGTCCGAGGTGGGGGCGGGCGGGGGCGGGGCGGAGGCGGGGCTGCGCGCGCAGCCGGGCCGGGCCCAAGCGCTGCACTGTAGCCGGCTCTGGATCGTGGGAAGCGCAGAGTCGCGGGAGCTTGAGCGAGACAGCGACATCGGGGACCCGAACGGCGCAGCCCGGCTGCAGGTCGGTCCTGGAGCGGGCAGGAACGCGGGGGGACTGGGCCCGGGGTCTGCTCGGACCCCCGGGCCTGCGGCCGCCTAGGGGAGCAGAGGCGGGCCCTTCGGGAAGAGGTGTCTGCAGGGAGGGGCCGAGGCACCCCGGTGGGCCCTGGCCGACCGGGGACCCCGACCCCGCACCCGGCGCCCGGGCTGACCTGAGCCTGTGTTTGGGGCGCAGCAGCCCCTGCCCCCCACCCACGCACTCCGTGGGGTCGGGAGGACGGCCGCTCACGTGTCCATGGCCCGGAAGGGTCTCGGAACTGCGGGGTGTCAGCGGGGAACAGGCCCGTTCCCCTCGAGATCAGGGCCGGGGCCTCACAGCCCCCATCAGAGTCCGGAGAGACCCTGACCCTCACCCCGCTGACACCCCCCGAGTGGGCATTGGGGACCTGGGCAGGGGATGGGGATGGGGCTTCAGGAAGTCGGGACCTGGGGTCTGGGAGGGATGTCTGAAGGGGGACATAGGGTCTGGAGCTTGGGGGGTATCAGACTTGGGGAGGGGGTGTCTGATGATGGGAGGGGGGTGTCGATGGTGGGGAGAGGTTGTCCATGATGGGGAGGGGGTGTCGATGGTGGGGAGCGGGCTGTCTGATTGTGAGTAGGGGGTGTCGATGGTGGGGAGGGGGGGTCTGATGGTG